TATAAATCATTTTTTCCTCCTTTCCTTTTATATATCAATTTCATTAATCTCATTCCCATTCTTACATTTAATTCTCCTTCCTTAAAAATCTCCTCATATACCTCTTTTAAAATTCCAGTTAAAATATCTTTAAAAACTATATAAAACTCATTCCCCAACCCATCTATTCCTGGACTTTTATTTTTATTTAACTCGTTAATTGCTCTTTTTATTTCTTCCTCGTTTATTTGTTCATCACATTCCTTTTTTTCTATCTCTCCTGCTGTTGTTTTTATTTGTTTTAGTAATTCTGCTTTGTCCTCCTCTATCACACCTTCTGCACTAAATAACTTGTCATGGTAATTTTTAATTTCTTCCAATATTCCATCATTTGTTTCTACAACTACCCCATCATCTCTTTTTACTTCATTAAATGTTTTGGCTTTACTTCAACGAGAATTCTACCACTAAACCACCAATGCTGATATGCTTATACTGCTGTCCTAGTGGGGTGTGATTACTGCAAGGTTGTTACCCAGAGCTGGATGAGTAGCAACACAAAATAGGATTTGCATTGGCTGGGAATCTGACCCGGGTCTCCCGCGTGGCAGGCGAGGATTCTACCAGTGAACCACCAATGCTGATATGCTCTTACTACTGTCCTAGTGGGGTGTGATTGCTGCAAGGCTGTTACCCAGAGCTGGAAGAGTAGCAACACAAAACAGGAATTGCATTGGCCAGGAATCGGACCCGGGTCTCCCGCATGGCAGGCAAGAATTCTACCACTGAACCATTTATGCTGATATGCTTATAGTGCTGCCCTAGTGGGGTGTGACTGCTGCAAGACCGTTACCCAGAGCTGGAAGAGTAGCAACACAAAACAGGAATTGCATTGGCCTGGAGTTGGACCCGGGTCTCCTGCGTGGCAGGCGAGAATTCCACCACTGAACCACCAATGCTGACTCATGTTGTTTTTTGCCTTTGTGTTATGTGAGTGCTAAAAGGCCGTCAACCAGAGTTGTTACAGGAGCCACACAAAACAGCAATTGCATTAGCCAGGAATGGAACCCAGGCCTCCCTCATCGCAGGAAAGAATTCTACCACTGAACCACCAGTGCTGATATGCTAATACTGTAGCCCAAGTGGGGTGTGATTGCTGCAAGGCTGTTACCCAGAGCTGGAAGAGTAGCAACACAAAAGACGAAATGCATTGGCTGGGAATCGGACCCAGGTCTCCTGCGTGGGAGGCGAGAATTCTACCACTGAACCACCAATGCCGATATGGTCCTACTGCTGTCCTAGTGGGGTGTGATTGCTGCAAGGCTATTACCCAGAGCTGGATGAGTAGCAACACAGAAGAGAAATTGCATTGGGTGGGAATCAGACCCTGGACTCCCGCGTGGCAGGCAAGAATTCTACCACTGAACCACCAATGCTGATATGCTCAAATATCTGTCCTAGTGGGGTGTGATTGCTGCAAGGCTGTTACCCGGAGCTGGGAGAGAAGCAACACAAAACAGGAACTGCGTTGGCCGGGAATCGGACCCGGGTCCCCTGCGTGGGATGCCAGAATTCTACCACTGAACCACCAAAGCCGATATGTTCTTACGGCTGTCCTAGTGATGTGTGATTGCTGCAAGGCTGTTACCCAGAGCTGGAAGAGTAGCAACACAAAACAGGATTTGCATTGGCCAGGAATCGGACCCGGGTCTCCCGCATAGCAGGCGAGAATTCTACCACTGAACCACCAATGCTGATGTGCTCAATCATCTGTCCTAGTGGGGTGTGATTGCTGCAAGGCTGTTACCCAGAGCTGGAAGAGAAGCAACACAAAACAGGAACTGCGTTGACCGGGAATCGGACCCAGGCCCCCTGCGTGAAACACGAGAATTCTACCACTAAACCACCATTGCTGATATGCTCATACTGCTGTCCTAGTGGGGTGTGATTGCTGCAAGGCTGTTACCCAGAGCTGGATGAGTAGCAACACAAAACAGGATTTGCATTGGCCGGGAATTGGACCCGGGTCTCCCGCATGGCAGGCGAGAATTCTACCACTGAACCACCAATGCTGATATGCTCGATTGTCTGTCCTAGTGGGGTGTGATTGCTGCAAGGCTGTTACCCAGAGCTGGAAGATTAGCAACACAAAACAGGATTTGCATTGGCCAGGAAACGTACTCGGGTCTCCCGCGTGGCAGGCAAGAAATCTACCAGTGAATCACCAAGGCTGATATGCTCATACTGCTCTCCTAGTTGGGTGTGATTGCTGCAAGGCTGTTACCCAGAGCTGGAAGAGTAGCAACACAAAACAGGATTTGCATTGGCCGGGAGTTGCACCTGGATCTCCTGCGTGGCAGGCGAGAATTCTACCACTGAACCACCAATGCTGATATGCTCATAGAGTTGTCCTAGTGGGGTGTCATTGCTGCAAGGCTGTTACCCAGAGCTGGAAGAGTAGCAACACAAAACAGGAATTGCATTGGCCGGAAATCGGACCCGGGTCTCCCACGTGGGAGGCGAGAATTCTACCACTGAACCACCAATGCTGATATGTTCTTACGGCTGTCCTAGTGATGTGTGATTGTGCAAGGCTGTTACCCAGAGCTGTAAAAGTAGCAAAACAAAACAGGATTTGTAATGGCCGGGAATCAGACCCAGGTCTCCCGCGTGGCAGGTGAGAATTCTACCACTGAACCACCAATGCAGATATGCTCATACATCTTTCCTAGTGGGGTGTGATTGCTGCAAGGCTGTTACCCAGAGCTGGAAGATTAGCAACACAAAAAAGGAATTGCATTGGTAGGGAATCGGACCCGGCTCTCCTGCGTGGGAGGCGAGAATTCTACCACTGAACCACCCATGCTGATATGCTCATACTGCTGTCCTAGTGGGTTGTGATTGCTGCAAGGCTGTTACCCAGAGGTGGAAGAGTAGCGACACAAAAGAGAAATTGCGTTGGCTGGGAATCAGACCCATGTCTCCCACGTGGCAGGCGAGAATACTACCACTAAACCACCAATGCTCATATGCTCAAACACATTTCCAAGTGGGGTGTGATTGCTGCGAGGCTGTTACCCAGAGCTGGAAGAGAAGCAACACAAAACAGGAACTGCGTTGGCCAGGAATCTGACCCGGGTCCCCTGCGTGGGACGCAAGAATTCTACCACCAAACCACCATTGCTGATATGCTCATACTGCTGTCCTAGTGGGGTGTGATTGCTGCAAGGCTGTTACCCAGAGCTGGAAGATTAGCAACACAAAACAGGAATTGCATTGGCCGGGAATCGGACCCAGGTCTCCCGCTTGGGAGGCGCAAATTCTACCACTGAACCACCAATGCTGATATGCTCATACTGCTCTCCTAGTGGGGTGTGATTGCTGCAAGGCTGTTACCCAGAGCTGGATGAGTAGCAATACAAAACAGCTTTTGCAATGGCCGGGAATAAGACCTGGGTCTCCCGCGTAGCAGGCGAGAATTCTACCACTGAACCACCAATGCTGATATGCTCATTCATCTGTCCTAGTGGGGTGTGATTGCTGCAAGGCTGTTACCCAGAGCTGGAAGATTAGCAACACAAAAGAGGATTTGCATTGGCCAGAAAACGTACTCTGGTCTCTTGCGTGGCAGACGAGAATTCTACCAGTGAACCACCAATGCTGATATGCTCATACTGCTCTCCTAGTTGGGTGTGATTGCTGCAAGGCAGTTACCCAGAGCTGGAAGAGTAGCAACACAAAACAGGATTTGCATTGGCTGGGAGTCGCACCTGGATCTCCCGCGTGGCAGGCGAGAGTTCTACCACTGAACCACCAATGCTGATATGCTCAGAGAGTTGTCCTAGCGGGGTGTGATTGCTGCAAGGCTGTTACCCAGAGCTGGAAGAGTAGCAACACAAAACAGGAATTGCATTGGCCGGGAATCAGACCCGGGTCTCCCACGTGGGAGGCGAGAATTCTACTACTTAACCACCAATGCTGATATGTTCTTACTGCTGTCCTAGTGATGTGTGATTGCTGCAAAGCTGTTACCCAGAGCTGGAAGAGTAGCAACACAAAACAGGATTTGCATTGGCCAGGAATTGGACCCGGGTCTCCCTCGTGGCAGGCGAGAATTCTACCACTGAACCACCAATGCTGATATGCTCATACAGGTGTCCTAGTGGGGTGTGATTGCTGCAAGGCTGTTACCCAGAGCTGGAAGATTAGCAACACAAAACAGGAATTGCATTGGCCGGGAATCGGACCCAGCTCTCCCGCGTGGGAGGGGAGAATTCTACCACTGAACCACCAATGCTGATATGCTCAAACTGCTGTCCTAGTGGGTTGTGATTGCTGCAAGGCTGTTACCCAGAGCTGGAAGAGTAGCAACACAAAAGACAAATTGCATTGGCTGGGAATCGGACCCATGTCTCCCACGTGGCAGGCGAGAATACTACCACTGAACCACCAATGCTCATATGCTCAAACATGTGTCCTAGTGGGGTGTGATTGCTGCAAGGCTGTTACCCAGAGCTGGAAGAGAAGCAACACAAAACAAGAACTGCTTTGGCCGGGAATCGGACCCGGGTCCCCTGCGTGGGACACGAGAATTCTACTACTAAACCAACATTGCTGATATAGTCATACTGCTGTCCTAGTGGGGTGTGACTGCTGCAAGGCTGTTACCCAGAGCTGGCTGAGTAGCAACACAAAACAGGATTTGCATTGTCCAGGAATCGGACCCAGGTCTCCCGCGTGGCAGGCGAGAATTCTACCACTGAACCACCAATGCTGATATGCTTGATTGTCTGTCCTAGTGGGGTGTGATTGCTGCAAGGCTGTTACCCAGAGCTGGAAGATTAGCAACACAAAACAGGATTTGCATTGGCCAGGAATCATACTCGGGTCTCCTGCGTAGCAGGCGACAATTCTACCAGTGAACCACCAATGTTGATATGCTCATACTGCTCTCCTAGTTCGGTGTGATTGCTGCAAGGCTGTTACCCAGAGCTGGAAGAGTAGCAACACAAAACAGGATTTGCATTGGCCAGGAGTCGCACCTGGAACTCCCGCATGGCAGGCGAGAGTTCTACCACTGAACCACCAATGCTGATATGTTATTTAGACTGTCCTAGTGGGGTGTGATTGCTGCAAGGCTGTTACCCAGAGCTGGAAGATTAGCAACACAAAAGAGAAATTGCATTGGCTGGGAATCGGACCCATGTCTCCCACGTGGCAGGCGAGAATACTACCACTGAACCACCAATGCTCATATGCTCAAACACGTGTCCTAGTGGGGTGTGATTGCTGCAAGGCTGTTACCCAGAGCTGGAAGAGAATCAACACAAAACAGGAACTGCGTTGACCGGGAATCGGACCCGGGTCCCCTGCGTGGGACACGAGAATTCTACCACTAAACCAACATTGCTGATATGGTCATACTGCTGTCCTAGTTGGGTGTGATTGCTGCAAGGCTGTTACCCAGAGCTGGATGAGTAGCAACAGAAAACAGGATTTGTATTGGCCAGGAATCATACTCGGGTCTCCCGCGTGGCAGGCGACAATTCTACCAGAGAACCACCTATGCTGATATGCTCATACTGCTCTCCTAGTTGGGTGTGATTGCTGCAAGGCTGTTACCCAGAGCTGGAAGAGTAGCAACACAAAACAGGATTTGCATTGGCCGAGAGTCGCACCTGGATCTCCCGCATGGCAGGCGAGAATTCTACCACTAAACACCAATGCTGATATGCTCATAGAGTTGTCCTAGTGGGGTGTGATTGCTGCAAGGCTGTTACCCAGAGCTGGAAGAGTAGCAACACAAAACAGGAATTGCATTGGCCGGGAATAGGACCCGGGTCTCCCACGTGGGAGGCAAGAATTCCACCACTGAACCACCAATGCCGATATGTTCTTACGGCTGTCCTAGTGATGTGTGATTGCTGCAAGGTTGTTACCCAGAGCTGGAAGAGTAGCAACACAAAACAGTATTTGCATTGACCGGGAATCGGACCCAGGTCTCCCGCGTGGCAGGCGAGAATTCTACCACTGAACCACCAATGCTGATATGCTCAATCATCTGTCCTAGTGGGGTGTGATTGCTGCAAGGCTGTTACCCAGAGCTGGAAGAGAAGCAACACAAAACAGGAACTGCGTTGACCAGGAATCGGACCTAGGTCCCCTGCGTGGGACGCGAGAATTCTACCACTAAACCACCTTTGCTGATATGCTCATACTGCTGTCCTAGTGGGGTGTGATTGCTGCAAGGCTGTTACCCAGAGCTGGATGAGTAGCAACACAAAACAGGATTTGCATTGGCCGGGAATTGGACCCGGGTCTCCCGCGTGTCGGGCGAGAATTCTACCACTGAACCACCAATGCTGATATGCTCGGTTGTCTGTCCTAGTGGGGTGTGATTGCTGCAAGGCTGTTACCCAGAGCTGGAAGATTAGCAACACAAAACAGGATTTGCATTGGCCAGGAAACGTACTCGGGTCTCCCGCGTGGCAGGCAAGAATTCTACCAGTGAACCACCAAGGCAGATATGCTCATGCTGCTCTCCTAGTTGGGTGTGATTGCTGCAAGGCTGTTACCCAGAGCTGGAAGAGTAGCAACACAAAACAGTATTTGCATTGGCCGGGAGTCGCACCTGGATCTCCTGCGTGGCAGGCGAGAATTCTACCACTGAACCACCAATGCTGATATGCTCAGAGAGTTGTCCTAGTGATGTGTGATTGCTGCAAGGCTGTTACCCAGAGCTGAAAGAGTAGCAAAACAAAACAGGACTTGTAATGGCCGGGAATCAGACCCAGGTCTCCCGCGTGGCAGGCGAGAATTCTACCACTGAACCACCAATGCAGATATGCTCATACATCTTTCCTAGTGGGGTGTGATTGCTGCAAGGCTGTTACCCAGAGCTGGAAGATTAGCAATACAAAAAAGGAATTGCATTGGCCGGGAATCGGACCCGGCTCTCCTGCGTGGGAGGCAAGAATTCTACCACTGAACCACCCATGCTGATATGCTCATACTGCTGTCCTAGTGGGTTGTGATTGCTGCAAGGCTGTTACCCAGAGCTGGAAGAGTAGCGACACAAAAGAGAAATTTCATTGGCTGGGAATCAGACCCATGTCTCCCACGTGGCAGGCGAGAATACTACCACTAAACCACCAATGCTCATATGCTCAAACACATTTCCTAGTGGGGTGTGATTGCTGCAAGGCTGTTACCCAGAGCTGGAAGAGAAGCAACACAAAACAGGAACTGCGTTGGCCGGGAATCGGACCCGGGTCCCGTGCGTGGGACGCGAGAATTCTACCACCAAACCACCATTGCTGATATGCTCATACTGCTGTCCTAGTGATGTGTGATTGCTGCAAGGCTGTTACCCAGAGCTGGAAGAGTAGCGACACAAAAGAGAAATTTCATTGGCCGGGAATCAGACCCATGTCTCCCACGTGGCAGGCGAGAATACTACCACTAAACCACCAATGCTCATATGCTCAAACACATTTCCTAGTGGGGTGTGATAGCTGCAAGGCTGTTACCCAGAGCTGGAAGAGAAGCAACACAAAACAGGAACTGCGTTGGCCGGGAATCGGACCGGGGTCCCCCGCGTGGGACACGAGAATTCTACCACCAAACCACCATTGCTGATATGCTCATACTGCTGTCCTAGTGGGGTGTGATTGCTGCAAGGCTGTTACCCAGAGCTGGAAGATTAGCAACACAAAACAGGATTTGCATTGACCAGGAATCGTACTCGGGTCTCCCGCGTGGCAGGCGAAAATTCTACCAGTGAACCACCAATGCTGATATGCTCAAACTGCTCTCCTAGTGGGGTGTGATTGCTGCAAGGCTGTTACCCAGAACTGGATGAGTAGCAATACAAAACAGCTTTTGCAATGGCCGAGAATCAGACCTGGGTCTCCCGCGTGGCAGGCGAGAATTCTACCACTGAACCACCAATGCTGATATGCTCATTCATGTGTCCTAGTGGGGTGTGATTGCTGCAAGGCTGTTACCCAGAGCTGGAAGATTAGCAACACAAAACAGGATTTGCATTGGCCAGGAAACGTACTCAGGTCTCTCGCGTGGCAGGCGAGAATTCTACCAGTGAGCCACCAATGCTGATATGCTCATACTGCTCTCCTAGTTGGGTGTGATTGCTGCAAGGCTGTTACCCAGAGCTGGAAGAGTAGCAACTCAAAACAGGATTTGCATTGGCTGGGAGTCGCACCTGGATCTCCCGCGTGGCAGGCGAGAGTTCTACCACTGAACCACCAATGCTGATATGCTCAAACTGCTGTCCTAGTGGGTTGTGATTGCTGCAAGGCTGTTACCCAGAGCTGGAAGAGTAGCAACACAAAAGAGCAATTGCATTGGCTGGGAATCGGACCCATGTCTCCCATGTGGCAGGCGAGAAAACTACCACTGAACCACCAATGCTCATATGCTCAAACATGTGTCCTAGTGGGGTGTGATTGCTGCAAGGCTGTTACCCAGAGCTGGAAGAGAAGCAACACAAAACAGGAACTGCGTTGGCCGGGAATCGGACCCGGATCACCTGCGTGGGACACGGGAATTCTACCACTAAACCACCATTGCTGATATGGTCATACTGCTGTCCTAGTGGGGTGTGATTGCTGCAAGGCTGTTACCCAGAGCTGGCTGAGTAGCAACACAAAACAGGATTTGCATTGGCCGGGAATTGGACCCGGGTCTCCCGCGTGGCAGGCAAGAATTCTACCACTGAACCACCAATGCTAATATGCTTGATTGTCTGTCCTAGTGGGTTGTGATTGCTGCAAGGCTGTTACCCAGAGCTGGAAGATTAGCAACACAAAACAGGATTTGCATTGGCCAGGAATCATACTCGGGTCTCCCGCGTGGCAAGCGACAATTCTACCAGTGAACCACCAATGTTGATATGCTCATACTGCTCTCCTAGTTGGGTGTGATTGCTGCAAGGCTGTTACCCAGAGCTGGAAGAGTAGCAACACAAAACAGGAATTTCATTGGTCGGAAAACTGACACGGATCTCCCACATCACAAATGGGAATTTTACCACTGAACCACCAACGCTGATATGCTCACACTGCAGTCCTAATGGGTTGTGATTGCTGCAAGGCTGTTACCCAGAGCTGGAAGAGTATCAACACAAAACAGGATTTGCATTGGCCGGGAATCGGACCCGGGTCTCCGGCGTGGCAGGCGAGAATTCTACCACTGAACCACCAATGCTGATATGCTCATACTTTGGTCCTAGTGGGGTGTGATTGCTGCAAGGCTGTTACCCATAGCTGGAAGAGTAGCAACACAAAACAGGAATTGCATTGGCCGGGAATCAGATCATGTCTCCCACGTGGGAGGCGAGAATTCTACCACTGAACCACCAATGCTGATATGGTCTTACAGCTGTCCTAGTGGGGTGTGATTGCTGCAAGGCTGTTACCCAGAGCTGGAAGAGTAGCAACACAAAACAGGATTTGCATTTGCCGGGAATCGGACCCGGGTCTCCCGCGTGGCAGGCGAGATTTCTACCACTGAACCACCAATGCTGATATGCTCAAACATCTGTCCTAGTGGGGTGTGATTGCTGCAAGGCTGTTACCCAGAGCTGGAAGATTAGCAACACCAAACAGGAATTGCATTGGCTGGGAATCAGACCCGGCTCTCCCGCGTGGGAGGCGAGAATTCTACCACTGAACCACCAATGCTGATATGCTCATACAGCTGTCCTAGTGGGTTGTGATTGCTGCAAGGCTGTTACCCAGAGCTGGAAGAGTAGCAACACAAAAGAAAAATTGCATTGGCTGGGAATCAGACCCATGTCTCCCACGTGGCAGGCGAGAATACCACCACTGAACCACCAATGCTAACATGCTCAAACATCTGTCCTAGTGGGTTGTGATTGCTGCAAGGCTGTTACCAAGAGCTGGAAGAGAAGCAACACAAAACAGGAACTGCGTTGGTCGGGAATCGGATCCGGGTCTCCTGCATGGCAGGCGAGAATTCTACCACTGATCCACCAATGCTGATATGCTCATATTGCTGTCCTAGTGGGTTGTGATTGCTGCAACGCTGTAACCCAGAGCTGGAAGAGTAGCAACACAAAACAGGATTTGCATTGGCCGGGAATCGGACCCGGGTCTCCCGCGTGGCAGGCGAGAATTCTACCACAGAACCACCGATGCTGATATGTTCACACCGCTCTCCTAGTGGGGTGTGATTGCTGCAAGGCTGGTACCCAGACTCCGGAATGTAAGCAGCTGGTAGCGGGAGGATTGTTTAGACGAAATTTCCCTCTTGTTAGTAAAGCTATATTCCAGAAAGTTTGTAGAATCGATGCTGATCTTCAAGCCGTGTTGTTTGAGCACTGTGCTGATAGGCTCAAGTTAAAATTAGGGTATAAGATATAAAAGCAAGAGTGCGAAGAGCGGAGCAGTGGGCAAAGACGTCCGAACAGTAACAAAGCAGGAAGTAGGAATAAACGTCGGTCCATGATGAGATGGACTGGAAAACAGAAATCCGAATCCTTCATAGGAGACATTAAATAGATCAATGATAACTGCAGAAGGTCTTTCTGCTGTTGTGGCAATGAATGGACAGTCAACAATTGAAAAGATTCCTTCCATGCCTTAGAAGCGTGACTTGATCAGTACTTATCTACACAGCATGCTGGCATCAAAGATCCTGTTTCTCATATCGAATCCCTAGTCTTCCACACTTTAGGAAACGTAAAAATTCAGGACATGCCATTAGCACAGCCTGCACTAAAAGGTGGCTGGAGATTACGGATGGCAACACAGAGTGCAACACCGATGTCACCTTGAAAAATCTGCCGAACCGGGGTTGCTGTGGCCACAGCGCAGAGTACTAACCACTATACTATCATGTCGAGCTACGGGACAGCCGTTGTGGCCCTTGTGTGGTATGTTCCTCCCTGTGATATGCCCCTTTCTGTTCAGTGAGAACATGCTGTTGTTTTTCTCCTCCTACCAGCACAACGCTTTTCCCAAGAAACAATGGAAATGCAAACAATTGATGACTACTGCAATTTTAAAAAGTGAGAGGACGTAGTTGGCAGGATTTGAACCTGCGTGGGGAGACCCCAATAGATTTCAAGTCCTTCGCCTTAACCACTTGGCCACGACTACAAGACTGCCTGTACTGCCATTTCTTTATGCCTAGTACACATATTGTGCATCCAGATGAAACTTTCACCAAGTGATAGCTCAACGGCAAAAGCTGTGGCTCCACAAAATGAGCCTTACACGCCCGAACAGGGACTTGAACCCTGGACGCTCAGTTTAAAAGTCTTATGCTCTACCGACTGAGCTATCCGGGCTCTACAACAGTAATTTACAAGTAGGCAAGGTTTAGGGTTGTGGTCGGCGCAGACCTTTACAGAACTCTCAAGTTTACCGTGAGATGGGGTTTTAAGCTTATGGTTGGTGTGGATGTTGCTAAAACACGACAGGTTATTTTAAGGTTGGGTTTATGATTGTTGTAGATGTAGAAATCAGTACAACACAATAGTTTGGACTCCATGTCATGTAGGAGACATTAAATAGATCAATGATAACTGCAGAAGGTCTTTCTGCTGTTGTGGCAATGAATGGACACTCAGCAATTGAAAAGATTCCTTCCATGCCTTAGAAGCGTGACTTGATCAGTACTTATCTACACAGCATGCTGGCATCAAAGATCCTGTTTCTCATATAGAATTCTAGTCTTCCACACTTTAGGAAACGTAAATATTCAGGACGTGCCATTAGCACAGCCTGCACTAAAAGGTGGTTGGAGATTACGGATGGCAACACAGAGTGTAACGCCAATGTCACCTTTAAAAACCTGCCGTGACCCGGATTCGAACCGGGGTTGCTGCGGCCACAACGCAGAGTACTAACCACTATACGATCACAGCAAGCTACGGAACAGCCATTGTGCTGCTTGTGTGGTATGTTCTTCTCTGTGATATGCCCTCTTTCTGTTCAGTGAGAACGCTGTTGTTTTCCTCCTCCTACCAGCACAACACTTTTCCCAAGAAACAATGAAAATGCAAACAATTGATGAATGCTGCAATTTTAAAAAGGGAGAGCACGTAGTCAGCAGGATTCGAACCTGCGCGGGGAGACCCCAGTGGATATCTAGTCTATCGCCTTAACCACTCGGCCACGACTACAAGACTGCCTGATCTGCCATGTCTTCATGCCTAGTACATGTATTGTGCATCGAGATAAAACTTTAATCAAGTGATAGCTCAACGGCAAAACCTGCGGCTTCACAAAATCAGCCTTACACGCCCGAACAGGGACTTGAACCCTGGACCCTCAGATTAAAAGCCTGTTGCTCAACTGACTGAGCTTTCCAGGATCTACAAGAGTAGTTTACAAGTAGGCAAGATTTAGGGTTGTGGTTAGCGCAGACCTTTACAGAACTCTAAAGTTTACCGTGAGATGGGGTTTTAAGCTTATGGTTGGTTTGGATGTTGCTAAAACACGACAGGTTACTTTAAGATTGGGTTTATGGTTATTGTAGGTGTAGACATCAGTACAACACAATAGTTTGGAATTCATGTCATGTAGGAGACATTAAATAGATCAATGATAACTGCAGATGGTCTTTCTGCTGTTGTGGCAATGAATGGACACTCAGCAATTGAAAAGATTCCTTCCATGCCTTAGAAGCATGACTTGATCAGTACTTATCTACACAGCATGCTGGCATCAAAGATCCTGTTTCTCATATCAAATTCTAGTCTTCCACACTTTAGGAAACGTAAACATTCAGGACGTGCCATTAGCACAGCCTGCACTAAAAGGTGGCTGGAGATTACAGATGGCAACACAGAGTGTAACGCCTATGTCACCTAGAAAAACCTGCCGTGACCCGGATTCAAACTGGGGTTGCTGCGGCCATAACGCAGAGTACTAACCACTATACGATTTTTAAAAAAAAAAAATTTTATTAAGAAATATTCATAAAATTACAATTTTACATTTTACACATATTTGCACAAGATATTTCATTTCAAAAGCAGTTCATTGGTGGTCGATGGTCTTATTTCCAGGGTCCTTTCAGTCCTTTAAAAGAGAAATGTCCAATTCACAGTCCTTTAAAATCTGACATACTGCAACCGTAAAAACATTGTAAAAAAACATCAACTTTTTCTTCATGATAAAAATAATAAAACAAACATTGTACATACTTTGCGAATTTTCTTTTAAAAATGTTCCATACATTTAGTTGCACTTTTTCCTTCCTCATTACAACTCTTCTTTCCCATATTGCGTTTTTCATCAACATTATCAGCAAGTTAATTAGCTTTTTGTTTTTACATGCACATTCATTTTCCAATCCCAACATTAAAACCTTCTTCCATTCCGTTTCTTCCTCCCCTTTTAATATTGAGATCATTTCTTTACATCTTTCATTAAAATCATCCAACTGTTTGCAATGTAAAAATAAATGTAAAAGCCCCTCATCATCTTCGTTACACACTTTACATGTTGCATCTTGTTCCATCCCAATTTTATTTAAAATGGAATCAGTAAAAATCACTCTGTGTCTAATAAAATATTCTAAGTTTGCCAGTTTTGTTTGTATAAAAATACCTCTCATGTTTTCCCATATGTTGTTCTCATTTGTTATCTCGTATTTTTGCATCCAGTATACATTTGCCACAGGTTTCTTAAAAACTGCATCCCTAAAAACACAAAAAAAACTTTTCACAGTACATTCCTTAAAATCATTCAATTTCTCCCCTATTCTTACATACACTTCCATTCCATCTTCTTTATTTTCAATTTTTTGAATCCATTCTTGAGGGATTGCAGTTTTAATTATTTCGTACTTATTTTTATTTCTTGTCTGCTACATTCTTCCTTTGCTTCTTCCATGGCATCAATAATGCATTGTACTGGTAAAAAAAACCTTCATTAAACTCATATAAAATATCCCTTACTTTAACTATTCCTGCCACCCACCATTTCTTTAAAAAAATCCCTCCCTTGATTTAAAATGCAGTTGTTTAAGAAAAGGGGCTGATTTAAAATGTTCTCTCTCCCTAGAGGTTTAAAATGCACATTGTTTAAAAATTTGCCCCAAGCTCTTAACAATTCCTTATAAAAATCCGGCACCCTCTCCGCCATCCAGTTTTTTGTTTAATAAGGGAGATTAGAAAACAGTGTAGGGCCTAGTGGGCTTGAGGAATGACTCAAAGGCAACCTGTGGTTTTGGGGAAAAATAACTGCCACCTATTGTTGAGATCACGCCTTTTGGATTTGTTGTACAAGAGCCTCTTTATGCATGTGCAAAGTAACTGAGTAGAAAGCATAGTAAATTATGCTTCCCCCCCACTGTCTTAGATGAAACTGCGTTTGGAAGTATCGTATCCAGAGGTTTTTTCTTTTAGTGTTAAGACTAAGTAGGCCAGAGCACCTGTCTTGGCAACAGCAGGTGCTAGGTTCAAATCCAAACTGCACCTTTCCCTCAGATTATGGGAGAGTGGCTTTCTGATCTGAAACTCTTTCAATGGCTGATAGCATATGTTTGTCCTGATTTCCATTTTCCGAGCTGACTCTGGGTTTGGATGTAATGAAACTGTAGGTTCCAAAAAACACTTAACACATGATCAAGGATAGATTAAATAAAAATAAATTCACACATTTTTTGCTTTGATCTTGAACAGAGGCCAGGTTACCGGTCAGGTTTGAGACATGATCATCCAGACTCTAAAAGACCACGTCCGTCTTGTCAGCATTTTCTGCATCCTGACATGCTGGTTTTTGTTGTGTATTATTTTTTTCTTCTTCGATTTTTGTTATCAGGCAAATGTCTCTTACAGTGAGTTTTTGTGGTGCTGTGGCTTAGCTGGTCAAAGCGCCTGTCTCGTAAACAGGAAATCCTGGGTTCAAATCCCAGCAGTGCCTAATGTACGTGTGCCACGGTTGCTTTTTGTTAAGAGTAATGAGTGTTTACGCAGCGGGATGTTTAGCAGTCGGTTTCTTAACAAAACTCAAATCCTTAAGAACGCTGCTCGTTCAAGAGAGCTTTGGACGATGGCTTTATAAAGCATAGTGTGGTAATGCCTAACCAATTGGACTTTAATATTTCAAGTCCAGACATTGACACATGCAGCGCTACCGTTGTTAGTTTTTTTTTTCTTTTTTCGAATTAAACAATTAGCCCCTTCCACAGTTGTTTGGCGCTGTGGCTTAGTTGGTCAAAGTGCCTGTCTAGTAAACAGGAGATGCTGGGTTCGAATCCCAGCAGTGCCTTGTCCGCAGTTGGCTGTTCTTTCATGGGCCAGAGAGTACTAAAAAGTGTTTTCTGTGCAACAGTGCTAGAGACAGCAGAGCACTCAGGCTCTGTGGCGCAATGGATAGCGCGTTGGACTTCTAGACTGTGAGCTGAGCCGTTCAAAGGTTGTGGGTTCTAGTTCCACCAGAGTTGCAAGCTTGGCTCTTTTTCTTCACTGACTTAAGGTGTGGTGCGTTTCTAACATTTAAGGCATCTGTCCATCCCGTTTTGCTTCTTTCTTTCATTGCGCAGTGCAGGCTCAGATACTAGGGGTACTCTACAATAAAGCCGATGAGTAAATTGAGCTGTTTTAAATAAGGGAGATTAGAAAACAGTGTAGGGCCTAGTGGGCTTGAGGAATGACTCGAAGGCAACCTGTGGTTTTGGGGAAAAGTAACTGCCACCTATTGTTGAGATCACGCCTTTTGGATTTGTTGTACAAGAGCCTCTTTATGCATGTGCAAAGTAACTGAGTAGAAAGCATAGTAAATTTTGCTTTCCCCCCACTGTCTTAGATGAAACTGCGTTTGGAAGTATCGTATCCAGACGTTTTTTCTTTTAGTGTTAAGACTAAGTAGGCCAGAGCAGCTGTCTTGGGAACAGCAGGTGCTAGGTTCAAATCCAAACTGCACCTTTCCCTCAGTTTATGGGAGAGTGGCTTTCTAATCTGAAACTCTTTCAATGGCCGATAGCATATGTTTGTCCTGATTTCCATTTTCCTAGCTGACTCTGAGTTTAGATGTAATGAAACTGGAGGTTCCAAAAAACACTTAACACATGATTAAGGATAGATTAAATAAAAATAAATTCACACATCTTGAACAGAGGCCAGGTTAACGGTCAGGTTTGAGAC